GCCCTGTGGTGGCGCCTGGGGAGCGGCTACCAGATAACTCCGAAGGGCTTCCCTCTCGCCATTGTCTTCCCTTATTACTTTCCCTCAGCATCAGCGCTATAACCAACGTCTGGCTGGGGCAACGGGGGGGGAGGGGTGTCCTTCCCGCTCCTCTTTCTCGTCCCAACGGCCGCCCATCCCCCACTAACTCTCACTTCGCCTCATAGAATCAAGGTTGGCGCCGCGCGCCGTTTCCCGCGCATGCGCCCCGCCTGTCCTGCCTTGGCGCCCTCTGGCCACGCCTTAACATGCGGCGTCACACCGGCCGCCCACCTCCTCCTCCTCCTCCCTGGTGTCCCCGCTTCTCTCCCCCCCCCCGCGCACTCGGTCTCCTCTTCGCTCCCTCTTCACACAATGACCCCCTCACCCCATCCCGCAGGGGGGACCCACCCAGGAGGCCAGATAAGCGCATTAGCATGTCTGGCCCCTGAGGAAGGCTGCCCCCTCTCGCCTCCCATTCTGCTCCTGTCATTCCTCCATCCTTCTGCTCCCCTCTGGCCCCTCCAGGCTCAGCGCGGGGGGGGGGGACCGGCTGCGCTGCCCTAAATCCTGCTTGGGGGAGCTGGATCTTCCTCCGCTTCCACTTCTACCCCACTCCAAATCTGCCTCGGGGCAAAGAGGAGGCGCCACTGGTCTCTTCCCGCATTTCTTCGCCATTTGATCTTGATCCCCCAACAATCTCCATTCTTCCCTGGGGGGGACAGTTTTGGGACTCGTCTCAGGGGACCAAATGTCTTGGGCCGGCCCTGCTGACCCCCCTCCAGGAGTAAGTCTGGCCAAGGTGGCTGCTCAGGCAAATGCAACCCAGGGAGGATTCCCCCCCTGAAGCCTGTGCCCCCTTTTCATCTTTGCCTCCTTTTCTGAACCTGGACCTGGGAATTCGGCTGGTGTTTCTCTCCCTCCTCCATAAGGAAAGCCCTGAGCACTAGCATTCCCTGGGTGGTAGCCAAATGATGAGGGGTGAGCACTCTGCACATGCCTGGGAGTAAACCATCTACCAGCTCCTGTTAGATTCCCTTAGGTGAGAGAAAGGGTTTCTAGAGTGATAGCCCAGTAGGTGCCTCCCAGAACTCATTGGAGGAAGAGTAAATGGTGCCCACCACAGCACTGTCGAAAACGAGGACACAGATATCATTCAATGGGTCTGTGCTAATTTAGGTAATATTAATCTGTATGTTTTGAAGTATGGTTGATTCACAACCCCCTCAATTTTATTATTTTACTGTATCTGTTTGTAAAACAAAAAACTGCAAAGTGGTTTACTATCAAGTGGGGTATACATTTAATGAAATAAATAAACAAATGGCCAAAGGCAACTTAAAAACAATTACGGTAATTTAAATAGAAATATAATACTTCTCACCGTATTTAGGTGACCTGAATGCCTGCTTAGTCTTCTGTCCAAATGCTGACTGTTAGTGGGCATTTGTTTGAAAACTGCAGCTAGACTATAAAGCCCTTCAAAGAATGGTGTGTCTGCTATGTCTCTGTTCCAGCACTCTTTTGTTTAATCAAATTTCCACTATACTTTTCTTCAACAAGGCTACACTTTCTGAAAAACAACCTACTCACAATGGGCTTCAGAAACCACAAAGTTGCTGTCTAACAACCTGCAGTTTGACACACTCACACATATTACTGTAATTAATTAATTAATTAATTAATTAATTAATTACAGATCGTTCCAAAGAGCACCCACATTGAAGTATGATTTCAGGTAAAATAACTTATGGTGAAAAGAATCTTTAGGCAATCTTAATGCATGGAAGCGTTATGGGTATTTAAAGAGCTTAGATGGTTATTTGAAGCTTGCTCTTTTAAAATATACATTGAGCTTTTGAAGGAAATGTCAAGACACAACTCCAGTTCTTCTGATATCTGCAGGCATAACACATTGCCCACAGTCAAATTGGACTTATTTGAGTAATATAAAAAATTTAATATTTGAAACGGAAATGAGATGAAGTGGGTGTCGATCAGGGAGAGAGAGCTTTATTGGCAGTAGCACCCCAGCTATGGAACAGCCTCCTCCGTGAGTCTTTCCTGGTGCCTTCTTTATCTTCTCTAAATCATCTAGTGAAGACCTTTTGGTTCACGCACATGGTTTAATTCTTTATTGAAGCTTGGGTGTTTTATACTCTCTGTGATGCCATCCATATAAGTTGCAAAAGATGTTTTTGGTTCTCTTTTATCTTTGGTTGATCATGATTTTTAATTATTATAAATCAAGACAGATCCATATAGTCAGAAATACGTCCCTCTCAATCCCTACCATTTCATTTACTTATGTTCTGGGATTTGGCGCCCAGAATCTTAAAATTCATTGGTTTCGTAGGAGATCTGCCCCTGATTCCAAGCTACTCTGTGTATAACATAGGCAAAATGACAGAATCTACATGCTAGAACAGCTTTAGAGAGATAGATAAATGTAATACAATAGATAAAAGGCAAGATTAAAACAACTCCCAATTGAGATCAAAAAGCTAAGGTTGGAGGATAAAATCTGCAATAAGAACAAGATCCAAAGCTGAAACTAAATCTAAATGTCTTCACCTGACACATACAAAAACATCAAAGTGATGTCTCTGTGAGTGGAAGGTGCGGGATTTATTTCCCCACATCCATCTCTCTGAAAGAGGGAAAGAGTTGAGTGGTGGTGAAGAGAGGGCATCATTACGCAGCAGAGACTGCTAAATAAGAGGGAGTCACCTTTTCTTTCAGTTGTTTTGCTAAAGTGAGTCAATCCCCTCCCTCCCTCCCTGGCCACCCCTTTGGCCGTTGACTCTTCGGCCGCCAGTAATAACCAATTGACTTTGACCTACTTTAGTCTGTGATTTCGTCCTTAGCCCTTGGTTTTAAGCAGTGGTTCCAACCTTAAACTGCCAAGTCAGTGCAAGTAACTACGCCACAACTGAATAAAGGGGCGTGTCCCACACCTGCATCGTACAAAAATCACACTTGCGGTCCAACCAAAGAACACGCCCACCCCCCCCCTTTACAAGGCTGCACACACTTCGTATCTGAAACGGAATGCAATCCCTTCTCTGTGGGTTTGAGGGGCTGACACAAGAGCCCTGCAATGCAAGTCTGTCGCAGCTTAGAGGTTGGGGGTTAGGTTGCTCTCGGTTTCCTGCCCAAAATCCCCAATAGAAAACACCCCTCAAGTTACAGCAAAGGTCAGCCTACTGAAACTGTCCCCTTAGGCGTCCTCCCAGTGTTAATTCAACACTTCAACACGTATTTCCGAACAGAAACTTGACCTCCTGGTCCGTGTGTTTCAGTAGCCATGAAGTTTAAATGTTCATTAAAACAACCACCAGCAAAGCGCTAATATCAAATTGGCATTGCTACTGTTCATATTAGGAAGTTTAAATATAAATTTGTCAAATAATAATTTATGCGGTGAAACATTGTGATCTTTGAATCTTGGAGGAGAAAGGGACATAATGTATAAACGAACTAGTAACAGGTTGAAACGCAGCTGTGTATTTGATACCTCAACTATGCTTGCTTGTTTTCCTTTCCTCGTCCTCCTACAAATAAAGCCAATTCTATGTTCTTATGGTTTTTATTTACTGAATTTATACGCCGCCCTTCGGAGCCCAGATCGGCAAACAGAAACAGTCCACAATTTAAAAACAAAAAAAAAGCAAAAACATTCTAAAACATTTCGAACATTAAAAAAATAACAATTGCAAACACCTAAAAGCAATTTCAGTTAGGAAGAATCCTAAAAGTAATTATAGGAGGTTTGTTGGTTTGTTTTTTCAACCATTCTTCTGCCCGCGGATCTCGGGGTTGTCAGGAACATTATTCTGCAGCCACCAAATGCCTGAACAAACAGGAATATTTTCAAATTCCTAATTAAACGTCCTAATTAGACGGGGCAGCTCACTAGAGAGAGCATTCCGCAACCGGGGAACCTCTTTAAATGGGCTGGCCGTCCAGACTGAATTAAAGCAAATTAAACCAACTACAACGGCACTGTCGTCTTATTTATTTATTTATTTGGGTTTATAAAAGATTACCATACGAATCCTAACTTGCAGGTACCAGCTTGGAAAAGGCATTCTTGGTGCAAGGATCTCCTCTTCTAAGATGGCGGGTGACCTTGAATATCCAATGCACCGTTTTTAAAAGAACGTAAGCTAAGTCTTCAAAACTAGCGAAAAATGAATGCAATTTTAATCATATGTTAATAAAATATAGCTTGCTTACATAGCTTAGATTTCTTTCTTCGGTTGCCGCCGCTCTTAGGTATACCGTATCATTCGCATTTGATACGATTGCTGGCAGTTGCCAGAGCCTCCATCCAAGGGATGTACTAATTTATTTAGACGGCAGAGGCTGAAATGAGGGGTATTGGGATTAAGTTGTTCCCAGCTTCTTTGTCGATATGAAATAATTTATACTTGGTTCTTTTTAGAACAACAACAAAACCTTTTTTAAAAGGAGAGTACCCGTTTAAATTACGAAGTGTCTGCTAAAGTGTGTGTGTGGGGGGTGTTCTTTGGTTGGACCTCGCAAGTGTCATTTTTGTAGAATTCGGGTGTGGCTTGGCAAAGAAAAGGTGTAGCAGGCGCCCGAAATCTCTCTCTCTCTCTCTCTCTCTCTCTCTCTCTCTCTCTCTCTCTCTCTCTCTCACTCTCACTCTCACTCTCACTCTCTCTCCTCTTGCATTCAGATGAAGAGTCAATTGCCAAAGGGGTGTCGACGGAGGGAGGGGTTTGAGCCAGTTTGGCAAAGCAACTGATTTTTTGAAAGAGAATGTAACTGTTTCTATTGGTTGAGAAGTAAGGGTGAAACGCAAAAATGATGAAGACGGGGCAGCTGACTGGGAGGCCATTTAGCAACCGGGAAACCTCGTATAGGTAGAGAAGTAAGGGTGGGGTCGCCCAACGAGATAAATGCCCAGACCGAATCCCCTGCAGAGAGAACGAACCTGAGGGAGTTTTTTCACGATGGCAACCAACAAGGAAGGTAGGAGAAACTTTTAAAAAAATGATTATTAAGCCCTGAGCTTTCCATGTCGGGAGCAAGATCTGCAAGCGTCGCTTCAGTTTAAGCTTGCCCAGCGCTTCCTTCAGATTTGCCTCTTTGTCTTTTCCCAGGAGGAAGCTACCCCAAAGTCGGAGGAGATAGAAGAAAAAGGACCGTTTTCACCCCTGTCCAAATCGAGCTTTTAAAGAAGGAGTTTGAAGAGAACCAGTATCCCGGATACGAGACCAGGGAGGCGCTGGCGAGGTGCATCGGAGTCGAAGAAGATCGTGTGCACGTAAGAATCGAGATGGTGGGGGCTCCCAAGACTTCCCTAAACCGCACATACTGGAACCATTTGAAACGCTCAGAATAATCCTTGCATAGTCGAAGGCCTTAGTTCACCCGGGTGCCTCTCAGCTTTTTTGGGGGGGGGGGTGTATCGTGGATGTAAAGGCTTTTTGTAAGGGGTGGGTGGGTTGTGCTCCCTCCTTTTCAAATTTAGGAAGAAATTGTGCCCATACTTCTTCAGAAATCATGGTTCCTGATTAAGGCTTCCTTTTCTTTCCCAGTAAATTTATGCACAGCACACATTCATTTAATGCAGATTCTGAGTTTTCTGAGATTCTGACCTCAAACAGGGCAGAACAAATGGGTAGGTCTTCTGAGTGAGGTATCTAAAATTACTATTACTATATTTATGGAATTTTTAAAACAATCGCCTTCCAGCACAAATGCACACAGAGATGTTAAGTCTTGTATGCAGCCATCCACTTGGCATTAACAAACGCTTGACAATTTCTTACAGATGAAGCTCACATCCACAGGTTATACTTCAATAAAGAGAGTCTTGTGGAACTGTACACTTGTGAAGCTTTTAAAGGTGGCTTTTTCTGATACTGCAGAACAAAATACAGCCAAATAGCAGTATTTAGTCATTCCAACTTAGAAGCTTTATGATTAACAGTAACTGGAGATTATGAACATGGGATATTTGAATGCGGAGCTGAAGAGAGTAGAAAAATGCTGCAGAGAACTAAAGAGAAACCCCAGAGGAATAAGCATAACTTATTAAATGTAATTTTCTCTGTTGGATCAAAAAGACATATTCATGGTAACAATGTCTTCTATATTCATTTGGTTCTCTCCTTTCTTCTGTGCAGATCTGGTTTCAAAACAGAAGGGCCAGAACACCAAAGAGGATAAGGATCGGGAACCATGCTGCAGCTCCTTATAGCCACAGTGAGAGAACCAGTTTAAGAAGCAGCCTGGACAGCAGCCCAAGAAGCAGTCCAGCAAGCAGCCAAAATATTCAAAATATTCACACGCAACAAAATTACCAGCCACACAACTTTCATTATGCTGAAAGCTATAGAGAAGCAGGGTTGTGGCAGCCACCTCTCAACAACATGCAACCGGGAGAGTATGCCCCGCAACAGCAGAGCTCCCCGGAATTGAACCCTGCTTATTACCAGCAAGCTGCTTTTTGTGGAACTGGGCTTTATGAGACTTCCCAGGCGAGCAACTGTCCAGTTCCATATTACGGTGCGGAGATGGTGAGGCAGCCTCCACCATCAGCTGGGAAGTTCTTCATGGCATCAAGCACTTATACTCCCTGGTCTGCAACGGGGAATTATTCAGCTACAAATCCTGTGCAAATGCAGAATGTTGGTGGAAGTGCTTCGGACTCTCAGTTTTTCTCTTTAAGTCAGGTTCCAGATTAGCATCCCAACTCCCCAACTCCTTCCTTGCTATCCTGTACATATTTTACAAGCTCCCTCTTTCAATGCCTTTTAATGTATGACTTTGATGTTTTGAATAAAGTTTGTTCCTTTACTAGCTTGTCTGGAGTCTTCCTTTAACTTTCCATTTACTGAAACATTCACTTTCCTTTGTGCAAGCATATAAACATGGGCTTAATTTTCCCACAGAGAAAAGTCAGTTGTGCGGTACATGTGGTTCTAGAGATAAAAGGTCAGGTCTACTAATGGCTGAATATTCCTGAGACACATTTTAATGCACCAATGCGCTTTCGGTTCCTTTCCTTTTCTTTTTAAGTCTCTGTATCTGAGGCTAGAGTAGGTGGCAATACATGTGGGGGGAAGTTGGTATATTTTCTTTGTATGCAAAAGTATATTTGTAGATCCTGCTATAAGTAAATTTAGTAATACTTTTCTGTGTTAATAAGTTTGGTTTCCATTCATGAGTCTTCCATTTTTTAAAACACAGAACTTTGAGACGGGGATATAAGGTTGAATTGATTTTCCTACCATGAGTGTGTAAAGTTGCTCTCCAAAGCTTTAAAGACGTATAAGTTTAACTTATAAATGCCCATGTTGCAGGCTAAGGCACATACATCTATTAAAACTTTGTGGGGGGATATTTTGAACACTTTATTTCATTTTCTTGCTCTTAATCCCCCCCCCAGGTTTTGCTCTACTGCATTCAATGAAGCTTTATAAGAGGGTTGCCTGTGAACTAGAGGTACCACTGTATATGCCTGAGGGAAGATGGTGGCGCCCTATGGGGACCGGCTACGAGATAACTCTTAAGGGCTTCCCTCTCGGCATTGTCTTCCCCTATTACATTCCCGCAGCATCAGCGCTATAACGAACGTCTTGCTGGGGCAACGGGGGGGGGGTGTCCTTCCCGCTCCTCTTTCTCGTCCCAACGGCCGCCCATCCTCCACTCCTTCACATAATGACCCCCCACCCCGCAGGGGGGACCCACCCGTGAGGCGAGATAAGCGCATTAGCATGTCTGGCCTCGGAGGAAGGCTGCCCCCTCCCGCCTTCCCTTCTGCTCCTTTCATTCCTTCATCCTTCTGCTCCCCTCTGGCCCCTCCAGGCTCAGCGCGGGGGGGGACGGCTGTGTTGCCCTAAATCCGCCTCTGCTTGGAAGTTTTCTCTCTCTTTTGGTTGATCATGATTTTTAATTCTTATAAATCAAGACAGATCCATTTATTCAGAAATACGTCCCTCTTAATCCCTCCCATTTCATTTACTTATGTACTGCTTTTGAAATGAACCTCACAAAGTGGTTTACATCAATATATCAAAACAAGAAGCATCCATTAAAAATGTTAGAAAACAGCAAAGGCAAACTGCAAGGGGGAAAACTTCAATGATTTTAGGATTGTAGCTTTTAAAAGTGTAGTTTAGTGGGAGAGATTTTTCTCTATCCCCTTTCTCCATGCAATTCAAAATTTTATAAATTTCTGTCATGCCACGTCTTATCCAACTTTTCTCCAAACCAAAAAGTCCCCAATGCTCCAAGCTTTCCTCATTGATCCATCCACTTGATCACTCTGCTTGCCCTTTTCTGAATTATCTGAACTGGAGATCTGTGATAACGCATCACCTGCTTGTATGCATAGGGTGGGATGGGGGGAGCAATTAATCCCTTTCCCGTCCCCCCCCCAGTCCTAATTGCTTTCTAAATTGCTGTTTCCTTTGCATGACAGTGGTGGGAAGAACGCTGGGTGTTTTGCAGTAGATCACAAAGGATTGCTGACCTCACCTCCCCGTGTTTATAAATACAGTAACAGCAAAATAATTCCCTCCCCCCCTCTACATTATACTGCTGAGATGAAGAATACTTGAGTTAACCGGGAACGGATTTACGTGTGGAAAGCCTGTGAGCTCCCATTAATTCTGATTCTCAAAACAAGTTCCTGGGCTCATAATTCTTGTATTCTAAGTGTATGGCTTTTGTACTAAGCTCTTTATTGCTGGATCCTAGGTTCTAGTTAAAGTGAGGGAAGCAAATCTCTTGCTGCATGGTGCCTGTGACTTGCAACCCCCTTATTGGGCAAATATTAGTTTTGATGGGTAAAATAGCATGGTATTTACACCTCTTCCCCAGTGCCACAAATAGTTCTGAATCTCTACTCCCCTCCCCTCGTCTGCTGTTTTCAAACCCAACAACAGATGACTATTACAGTTCTCCCAACATCAGTCCCAAGCAGTGACAGATCTACATGTTAGGGGCCCTGTAGCTTGAGCTGTTCTGGGGTCTCCTTCACAACTAGCAATCAGTTCTGGGTAACCACTGTTATCTTCTTCAATAGATCACCACATTTAAAAAATCAGATTTTGATTAGAATTTCTGTTCTGGGTTGTCTCACGTGTCAAAGACACTGCTGTGAATAAAAATGTTTACGCATGTGGACTAAATCCCTCTGAGATTAGGTGCCCAGAATCTTAAGATTCATTGCTTTCGCAGGAGATCTGCCCCTGATTCCAAGCTGCTCTCTGTATAACATAGGCAAAATGCCGTAATCTAGATGCTAGTACAGTTCTGGAGAGAGAGATAAATGTAATACAATAGATAAAAGGCAAGATTAAAACAACCCCAAATTGAGATCAAAAAGCTAAGGTTGGAGGATAAAACCTGCAATAAGGACAACTAGCTGCAACTAGATCTAAATGTCTTCACCTGTCACATACAAAACCATCCAAGTGATGTCAGGCACGCCTCTCTGGGAGTGGAGGGTGCGGGTTTTATTTCCCCACATCCATCTCTCTGAATGAGGGAAAGAGTTGAGTGGTGGAGAGCAGAGGGCACCATTACGCAGGAGAGACTGCTAAATCTTAGTGAAAGGAAAGGTACTAGGTGGTGTGTCATCTGGTGTGGATGAGGAAAGACTGCAGCGTTATCGCCTGCCCTGGGTGGCATCTACACATAAAAATCACTCTGCAAATGGTTTTGGGTTTTTTTAAAAAAACATTTAAAAAAATATATTGAATTTCCCATAGCTCATCACAAAAATGTAGTTCTTACTCGAAAAAAAGTTTCCTTGCCGATTCTGAGTCAACATACCGGTACTTAGCATTAGGGTTTATAGGTACACTTAGGGAGGGTCCCTTGTGTTAATTTTCTTAGGCAAAAATAACAAAGAATGTACCAACAGGGAACCATTCTTGATTAACAAACTGCCAGGGACTGGGAACATGCCTTGTATGAGCTGGAAGGTTTCAGAACGTTTTCAGTTCCTTTGAGGATCGGAGGCAACTATCTTGCCCCGGGTGTAGGGTAGAGCGGCAGGCTATTTGGATGCCGCAAGTCCCTGAAAGGCGGAGGGATATGCCACGTGAAAGTTCTGGGGATAGAAGGATAGAAAGAGAAATAGTTGAAGTGAAAAAGAAAGGAAGCACCAGCAACGTCTGAAGCAAGAATAGGAAACGGAAAGCTCGCTTTCCCTCTGAATGAAACCCGGTTGAAGTTACAAGCGACAGTGCCTTGAGACTGTGTAGATTCAGGATTTGGTTGCGACGTCTGTCCGAGACTGAATACTCTGAGCATCTAACATCAACCGCTTGGGCTTGAAAGACCTACTGACTTCTTGGCAAGAGGAGTTCGCCTTCCCTTTATTTGCAATGGTGTTACTCACATTCTTCCCTTCAAGTTTTTGCACCGCCTAACCTTAACGAAAACCTCTAAGCGGCTTACGAAAGCATGAACATTATCTATACAAGTCAAAGTGAAAAACATGCAAAATGCAATTACAGTCAAGCTAAAACCACCGATTAAAAGGCATAGCAACATTTTGCAGGTAAAAGAAAGGAAACAAAGTTTATAGCAGGCGCCGAAAAGGGTGCAGTGAAGGCGCCTGCTTCATCTCAAAAGGCAGGGGGTTTCAGAGTGTACTTGCTGCATCTAGGCTTCTTGGGCAAAGCCTTTCAACATGCCGAAGTCTTGGCGCATCTCTGTCTGTAAAATGAAAGCCTCATAATAATATTTTTAAAAAATAAACCACAGTTCTGTCTGGCTCTCTCGCTCCCCAACCCGTCTTCTCAATTCCCTTCTCTTCAACTGTGCGCACTAATTCTCCCAGTCTATGGGGCTATTTTCCAGTTTTGCTAAGGGGTGATGATAAGGGAAGGGTGCGCTCCAGCCCATCTAGATTGGTCAAGCAGCGCTTGAAAAGTGAACTTGAAACTCGCTCCTCCCCAAAAGCCGCCTCCCCATTGGAGCGCTTCTCTCGAAGGAAAACGCGCCGGCCAATTGGCAACCAGGAGGGGCTATAAAGGCGCCGAACTCCAGAAACCTTGAGAAGAAAGGGCATTTTTGGAAGCGAAAACCAGCTTTGTTGGAAGAGAGCGAGGCAGCGCTTTTGCAAGATGAAAACTACCACCAGCCGAGGTAAGAATAGAGGATTGTTAAGAAGACTTTTAGTCCACTTGTCTTTAAAAAATTGCTCAAATGATTGATATATATTAAGGGTTATAAATTCAACGGTTTTTATAAATGAAGGGTGTTTCTCTTTCTGGGTCAGGATCAGGGTGTAGGGAAGGCTTTCAAAGACCCATTTGTGGTAGCCAGGGAGGGATTACACAGGGGCTCCAATGTCTTCGGTTGGAAACAGTTCGCAAGATTGGTTTGCACACCTTTATTCGTAAACACGAAGCATTTAGTGCGTTGAAAGTGCAATCCTATACAGGACACACTTTCCTGAACGTTAAATCCTTTTCAAATAAACGGCGATTTAATTTCCCAATAAACGTGGTTAGGATCGGCTGCGGAAAACGATGGCACGTATAGAAATAAGAGCGTAAACTTCTTACTGAAAATTCTTTGGTTTGTTTTCATGCAAGCCTTGTTCAGAGCAACCGGAGGTTTATTTAAAGGCCACAAAGTGCGTGGATTTCAATGTCAGGTACAAAAGCCTTACTGTACAAAGCGAAGGCTTTGCCCTTCTGCGCTCTGCCGGGTGGCTGGTCAG